GTGACCCAGAAAATTGTAAGGCTGAGGTCTGAACACTGAAATTACACTCATGAATCTTGTATCATTTTGGAATAATGCTATATGCACCAGTAGGTTGAGTTTCACACCCATTCTGAGAGCTCTGTCCAGAGACAGCATGCCAGCAGGTGGCAGATTGATCATTGCACTGGACAGTTCCCCTGTGGAAGTTCTTGAGTGATTTATCTTTTTTTTTTTTTTGTTAAATTATAGCTTTTTTCCTTACAGAAAAACACAATGAATAATACTACATTAAAAAAGAAAAGTCAGGGTGTTAATTTCCTCAGCGAGTTTTTAGCAGCTGATGTAATACACACTAATGATGGCTAATAATGAAAAACAATAAAAGGAAATAAAAAGAGGTTATGTTGGCTTTTGGTTTATTTTGATTAGATGCCAGGAAGTGGAGAGGAAATTTTCTATCAATCTTCCATTAACTTAATCTGCTCAGAAATGCAGGTGTCCGGCGGTATATTCAGAATTACATATAGGACCTTACTAGCTAATGTATCACTTAGATTGTAACCCATTTACCTATTAACCATGTACCAGATTTTGAGTTCAGTAACAAGAGTGCAGATCCAGAATGATTTCACTAGTTTACCTAGGCAGTGATCTGGATTTAAATTTCTGGCTTTGGGAATGATCTCATCTGAAAGTTTGATTCAGCTGCCAAAACTGATGATGATATGGGGCTGGAAGAGAATATGCAGTGTGGGAGCTGCCTGGCATGAAGCAGTTGGGATCCCTGGGCTATTACATTACCCTATGGAAAGAAGAAATAAAGATGGTACTTTAAGGAAACCTCAAAAGGATTTTTTGCTGAGAACTCATACACCAGTCCTGCACTGGTGTCTGGTACAGGTTTGATGTGAGCCAAGGGAAAGGAGGAGGGAGAACAAGGAAAGAGATAATAGAACACATGGATAGACAGAGGGGAGACAAAGAAAAAATACTATTTTTAGTGTTCATCCTCTGCACAGTTACTCTTCTGTACAAAGTTTCTTTCCCAGAATCTGTTTTCCATCCATTTTCAGATATGGAATTTGTAAAGACGATACTGACACTTGTACAGTAATGAAACCAGAGAAGCCAAAAATCCCTAAAAAGAAGTGGAATCTCTAAGAGGAAGAGTAGCTAGGGTAGGTCTGATGTATTCAGAAAGTCAAACGAAAAAGTTAAGGCTTTGACAGTTGAGTAAAGAAAGCTTTCCACCAGCTCAGTGGGACTTCTCTAAACCCTGCCTCAGCCCCAGTCCCATCTTCAAACTAAGAGCTACTTTTCCTAAGACTCTTTCAAGGTAATGCGTATTGCCATCATCCAGGGAAAAAAAAAAATAAAAATAAATAAATAAATAAATAAATGTGCATCATTTTCATTACATATCTCTTAAATCTAGAGGTAAATAGGTTCCCTAAGCTGAAAGACAGGTAGCAGATGTGACTGTTCTGACAAGTCCCTGGTTCACAGAATCACAGAATCCTAAGGGTTGGAAGGTACCTCAAAAGATCATCTAGTCCAACCCTCCTGCAAGAGCAGGGTAACCTAGAGTACATCACACAGGAACTTATCCAGGCGGGCCTTGAATATCTCCAGCGTAGGAGACTCCACAACCCGCCCTGGGCAACCTGTTCCAGTGATCTGTCACTCTCACAGTAAAGAAATTTTCCTGATGTTCACATGGAACCTCCTGTGCTCCAGTTTACACCCATTGCCCCTTGTCCTATCACTGGATATCACTGAAAAAAACCTAGCTCCATCATCCTGACACTCACCCTTTACATATTTGTAAACATTGATGAGGTCACCCCTCAGTCTCCCCTTCTCCAAGCTAAAGAGTCCCAGCTCCCTCAGCCTCTCCTCATAAGAGAGATGTTCCATTCCCTTAATCATCTTTGTAGCTCTGTGCTGGACTCTTTCAAGCAATTCCCTGTCTTTCTTGAACTGAGGGGCCCAGAACTGGACACAATATTCCAGATGCGGCCTCACCAAGGCAGAGTGGAGGGGGAGGAGAACCTCTCTTGACCTACTAACCACACACTTTCTAATGCACCCTAGGATGCCATTGGCCTTCTTGGCCACAAGGGCACATTGCTGGCTCATGGCCACCCTCCTATCCAACAGGACCCCCAGGTCCCTTTCCCCTTCACTACTGTCCAGCAGGTCAGCCCCCAACCTGTACTGGTACATGGGGTTGTTCTTCCCCAGATGCAAGACTCTACACTTGCCCTTGTTGAATTTCATCAAGTTCCTCTCTGCCCAACTCTCCAGCCTGTCCAGGTCTCACTGAATGGCAACACAATCCTCTGGTGTGTCAGCCACTCCTCCCAGTTTAGTATCATCAGCAAACTTGCTGAGGGTACATTCAGTTCCCTCATCGAGGTCGTTGATGACAATATTAAACAGCACTGGTCCCAGCACCGACCCCTGAGGGACTGCACTAGTCACAGAGCTCCAGCTAGATTCTGCCCCATTGACCACAACTCTCTGCCTTCTTCCTTCCAACCAGTTCTTGATCCACTTCACTACCTGATCATCAAGCCCACACTTCCTTAGCTTATCTATGAGGATGCTGTGGGAGACAGTATCAAATGCCTTACTGAAATCAAGAAAAACCACATCCACAGCTCTACCATCATCCATCCACCTAGTTACTTGCTCATAGAAGGCTATAAGGTTGGTCAAACATGACTTCTCCTTGGTAAAGCCATGTTGGCTGCTCTTAATGACCCCCTCATCCTTGATATGTCTAGAGATGGTGTCAAGAATAAGTTGTTCCATCACCTTTCCAGGGATGGAGGTAAGGCTGACTGCTCTATAATTACCCGGGTCCTCCTTCTTTCACTTCTTATAGACTGGTGTGACATTTGCCATCCTCCAATCCTCAGGCACCTCACCTGTTTCCCACAACTTACCAAAGATAATGGAGAGTGGCTCAGCAATGATGTCCACCAGTTCCCTCAGCACCCGCGGGTGTATTCCATCCGGACCCATCGATTTATAGATGAAGTTCAGTGAAGTGTGAGCTGTTTAGACAGGCACTGTATTTCTGCACATAGTCTATTTTCTTGAGACATGAGCTTCAGAGATGCAGTGTTGCCATCATCCACATCTCTGGCACTCACATCCCTGTATTGCACTATGCCAGCTGTGTCACCATACCTATCCTCAGTGTCTTGGGGTAAGCCAGAGGAGTGAAAGCAGTAACCAAGCAGGAACTGTTCACAGTTGCTTCACCTCAGAAGCCAGAAAATCCTGGCGTGCCCTCAGAAGCATGTTATGCCCAGTCTGAATGTATGTAGACTAAACTGCACGATGAGGGAAGATATGTCAGTTATGCTCGTCCCATCTACTTCCAGTGAGAATCTGAATACTTGTTACAAGGTTTGAATAAAGACTATCTGAATTTAGCCTATATTTAGTCATTATAATGACAGCAGCTGTATTCTGTAACTGTGTACTCTGCCTCTGGAGTGCTTTCCTTTCTATCTTGGATGCTTGCAGCCGCTGTGTGTACAGAGCAAGCCAAAAGAATGGGGTTTGTTCTGCTGTTTATTATAGAAACAGTCTCAGGTGGTTCATAAGTTCCCTCACACAGGTAAGATAACTGCTACTTTTAGGGTTTTATGACACCTTGGAATGAATATTTAATTCCTGCAGTGTCTGGAAAGTTTTGCCAGATGAAAATTATTTATAAGAATTACCAAGTTTTTAAGTAGATTTTGAGTGCGTACATGGTTTTCTCAGGTAAACTGGGATAACTGATTCACCACTGAACCCAAATACTGAATGCTTTGTGACCAGTGGATATGGTGACTCTAGACACATCCATTTTCTGGGGAATCACATTTGTATGTTTGTGGGAGCAGACTAGTAGCCAGGTTCTGCCCCAGATTACTGAAGATGGGACATACAGGAATAATCAGGAGCTGAGTAGATAGGGCTTGTGGGGTGAGAAGCTATGGTTTACATCTCTGACATGCTTCATGTTTATTTTCTTGTACCAAACAGTCCTGCAGGACAGATGGCATAGACTAGTCAATGTGTGGTGTTTGTGGTACCAGCATCATTCTGCCAGTACCGCCCTTTCCTAAAATGAAACATGAAAAGTTCCTGGCTTTAAAACAAAATATTTTGCAAGAAAATACTTCCAGGCTTACCTAGTCATGAATGAATCATTGTTTTCCTGGTTATCTGCACACTGAAACTGTGCCAACATTTTGGATTACAAGATGAGCAGTGGCATGTGTCCAGCTCCTCTGCTGAAATATTCTGTTAATATTGTGGGGGTAATGAGTATTTTAAATGGATCGATCTCTTTCCCCCTTTATAGAGTTCAAATTGTTCTTAAAATTCCTACAGCATGTGTGGGCTGATCACTGCAATAGTTAAATGTGGCATTCTTAGGCTCTAATCTGTGCTGCTAATTAATGTAGATTTGGTGGAGCCCCACAGAGGTTGTGTCAGAGGCAGCAGAATTTCACAAGGACAACTCCTCTGGGAGGAATCTTCCTTTCATCTTTCCAGCTATGCCGAGGGTTGCCAGGGGCAAGCTGTCCCTTGTGTGGCACAAGTTCCATGCTCACAGTTATACTGTTGAATGAAGAAAATGAAATGGAGCAAGAAAAAGGCTTTTAAGGAAATGCACTGGGTGAAAAGATTGTTGTGCCAACAGAAAAACCTTCGTCTCCTTCCCTCCCTGGTAAGACTTACCTCCAGTTACTCTGCCTCCAAGGGAAGCATCACACAGGTCACTTCTAGAAGTTCTGCTTCAAAGAGAGAATCCCTAAAGTGAGCCATCAGCAAATTAGCAAAACAGCATTTGCCAGGGCAGTGGCAGAGGCCCCTAAGGACATTAAGCATCATCTCAACTAGACATGCAAATATTTCATGGTGCTGAACATGTAAAAGGACTGCAGGTAATAGCAACAGAATTAAAAGCAAGTTATACAACACAAACAAAAAACTGACAGTGAACTTACTCTGAAAACTTTTTCCACCCTTGCAATACCCTTCCCAAAGATGGTTCCAAGTTGGTCTCCAATCCCAGCCAGCAAGAAGCCGAAAAGTGGAATCCCAAAGATGGCATACAAGATGCAGAAAACTTTGCCTCCAACAGTGCTTGGGGCCATGTTCCCATACCCTGAGGAGAGAAAAAATTGTCAGTTTCTCAGGACTTACACATGACTTTTTTAGGAAAACTGATGGTTTTAGAAAAACTGCTGCTTCTGCCGGTATACCTTTGTTCCACATGTAATTCCTATTTACAGTCTTCCAAGGCATGATGGCATTTCCTAGGCGAGCTACCCCCTGTGATTTAGTTCTTCTTGTAGCCTCAGTTACCCATGTTTTCTACAGATTCATGTCCCATTGAAAGTTGTTATTTGTTTAACTGATCTAGGTTGCCTTACTATGGCCCAAAAAACCCTGTGCTGGCCTGGTGCCTGTGCACTGCTGCTCTTCTTGGACTGTGCCAACGACTTCCTGATGGGGGTATGATTCACCTGACAAGGCTCATTTTCCATGGTTAGTTCATAATTTACTCTGTCCCTCATAACACTGACTGGTTACCCCAGTTGTATTCACACTACACAAATCTGCCTTTGAACTCTTTATTCAGACAATAAAGTTCCTAATGTTTATATTTTTGTCAGAGAAATCCCAAGCACAAATACAGGCTGGGCAGACAATGGATTGAGAGCAGCCCTGAGAAGGACTTGGGGGTGTTCATTGACAAGAAAGTCAAAATGTCCCAGAAATGTATGCACTCACAGCCCAAAAAGCCAACCATGTGCTGGGATGCATCAAAAGAAGCGTGACTAGCAGGTTGAGGGAGGTGATCCTGCCCCTCTACTCCAGGTGAGAGCCCACCTGGAGTATTGAGTCCAGCTCTGGAGCCCCAGCATAAGAAGGACATGGATTTGTGGAGCAAGTCAAGAGGAGGGGGCACGAAGATGATCAGAGGGCTGGAGCACCTCTCCTGTAAGAGGCTGAGAGAATTGGGGGTGCTCGGAGTGGAAAAGAGAAGGCCCCAGGAGATCTTTGAGAAGCCTTCTAGTGCCTAAAGAGGACCTACAAGAAAGCTGAAGAAGGACTTTTTCAAGAGCATGTAATGATAAGACAAGGGCGAACAGCTTCAAACTGAAAGAGGGTAGATTTAGATTAGACATTAGGAAAAAGGGTGGTGAGGCACTGGAACAGGTTGCCCAGAGAAGCTGTGGCTGCTCCATTCCTGGAAGTGTTCAAGGCCAGGTTGGACAGGGCTTTGAGCAACCTGGTCTAATGGAAGGTGTCCCTGCCCATGGCAGGGGGGTTGGAACAAGATGAACTTTAAGGTCCCTTCCAACCCAAACCATTCTGATCCTACAATTTCATAACACTTTTTAATAATTTTCAACAAGGACGTTTTTAAGCCTTTTCTCTGAACATCCTACTCCACTTATATATATAAATCAGTATTGATGTCATAATAAAGGTGCATACATGCCTTCCTTACACCCTCTGTTAGGGTAACCCAAGGTTGTTGAACAGATGACAGGTTCTGACTAACACATAATTATTCAGCTGCCTATCCTGAGTGAAAACTCTCATTTTGGCCCAAGCATGTTTAGGCACATTTGGTTTCAACTCCCAGCCCTGTAACTCCAGATAAATTATTGGAAATATCTGACACTGGTAGAAAAGCAACTCTCCACGTGTCGTATGCAGTAAATACATGTAGACACCACAGTTTGCTCAGGCACTTTGCTTTCCCACACTACCCATGTGAATTTCACTTTCAAATCTACATAGAGCATTATGATTCCAGTAGCCATGGTATTTCTGTTAAAATGTTAGTGTTAGAGAGAGTAAACAGGAATTGTGGAAGTAAAATTTGCACCTTTTTATTTAAGATCAGCTACCTTTATGAAAATGTTACAGAGATTTGTATTCTGATTACACATAATTATTTGAATATTAAAAATGATCACACAATCACAAATCACTGCTGAAATAAAGTGGAAACACAGCACACTGAGAGAGATGTAGATCTGCTTCATCTACAGCAATTCCTCCCAGTCGTTAGGAACTAAGGCTGGGCTCCCAGGTCCTATATCCTGTTAGGTTTGCGGCACTGGCATTGGACATATTTCTCTGTCATGGGATAGTGAAAGCACTATGCTGACGCAGAGCACTGCCTCCCCACAAACCCACAGCTGTTTTTATGGCTGTATGTGTGATCGCATATTTCTCCTAAAAGTCCCAAAAAATCCAGGCGCCACAGGCCAATGGACTGAAGTTGACCAGGTAGTCTGCCAAGTCTAAGAGAAGACCCAACAGGGCTTTGGTGGATAAAATAAAATCATTTTCGCGCCCAGACACAATATATAGACTTTATGCAGCCTATAAAAACTTAATTCATGGAGAACTTAAAGCAAATATGAGCACAAATCCAAGCTCTTCTCAATAAGTTATTTAAATAGCAGATGCCAATGAATATGCCTACATAAACTATGCCTACATGGTGGCATTTATTTTAATGAGTAATTTAAAAGCTTGTCACTTGGATCTATTGAGTAAACAAATATTAAGGAAGGGTTTTCTTACATTTGATTCAGAAATGTTTTCTTTCTCACTATCCACTGTTTTTATGCTACCATTAAAAATGCATGATAATGTAGTTTAGTATATAGAGGAACACAGGGAGGAGTATGCTCTATACGATCACTCTTTCATCCTCACGTTAACAACAAAGAAAAGGCAGAGCCAAAGGCACAGACTCCACTGTTTGAGATAATCACCACAGCAAGTCTTGTAACTGCCACAGGTTGGGTTTGGTGGGGTTTTTTGTACTTATTACCTGCATAAAGATTTTGCAGAATTCACTCAGATTCTCACACTTTACTGAAGGGTTATTTGATCGTCAGATTTTTCTATACAGTCACCAATGTGTGCATCACAGCTGTAACATGGAGAAGCACTTTATCCACCATTTAAATCAGAAGAATACTCAAAGGCAAAGCAAATAAAAAGCAAAATTTGCCAGTGGTTTCCAAATAATCAGATCTTTTGACCTCTAACCATGACAGCATTGAAATCAACCTTTCAATTGTACAACTACTGTATAATTCTGAGATTAACTTTATCATCAGTGTTATGAGTTTATAATTTTTTTTCCTTCAGACCATCTTCTGTAATCCCAGGTACTTGAGCAATCTTCAAGAGAGGTACTGGCTCACTAGGGAAAGGATAAAAACCTTAGTGTATATAAGGCCAGCATTCAGAGATGCTAAATATATAGGACATAATATATAGTTGGGACAGATGATAAGGTTCACTGAATAACGAATTTACTGAAATTAGTGGTTCAAGAAAAGTAAATGGATCAGTTCCATATACCCTTTATCTAATACAGAGAAATGTTACCTTACAGGTAAATTCATCAATAATATTCAAATCCGAATTTCCAACAACCATGGAATAGTCATTTCATTGGGTACTGGTTCTTGATCTTTCTAGTGAAAATTAAGCCCACCTGCACCTAGATCAAGAACAGATTATAAATCCTTAGTTACAACATTAGTTGTTTTCAGTTCAGCATTGCTGTTCTACTGTAGTTACATGAACAGTTTCTGATATTTACCCCGAGGCTCAATACCTTTGATACATACTAGAGGCATGCCTTCTGAAAACTGAGAGAAACAGAGTTCAGCCACTTCATTTCTTTGTTATTCACCTTCCTCAAATTTAATTTCTTATCCAGGTTTCAGTGTGACTATGCATTTGAAAAGATAAACAATAAACATACCTATAGTTGTGATGACTGTTCCAGCAAAGAAAAAGGCACTTCCAAGGTCCCAGTGACTGCTGTTTTTAGAAGAATTTCCTATGGGACTGACTCCTGCATTATCAGCATCAATAGCATGCTGCAGAGAAAGAGACAACAAATCAGCCTTATGCATGCTTTACCATATCCTACGCAAGCTGGTATAGGCTCCAGAGGGAAATTTCTAGGGCCATGGGAACAGCTTAGATTTAAACTTTTTAATACCTGCTCAAATTACAGTAGCATCCTCTGCACACATGAGCTGAATATATGACTGAACTATAAGCTATTAAGGTGGAACAAAGGTACAATGCATAGACAAATGACAGAAGATACAAAACTATTAAGAAGAAGACTGACACTACAAAGAGATCCATAAATATCATACTCAAAGTAATAAATGCCAAAGGAAAAATTCCCCAGTAGAACAGCTGATGTTAGAGGCAGCAAGAAGGGTGGTAAATAAAAATAATGTTTGTGAAGTCAACTGAAGCCAGTCAGCCAAGAATCTTAATTCCCAGACAATTCATCATTGATTACATTATTTATATTTTATGCTAACTAAAGAAAAAATAGGATATATATTCCATTTGAAATGAAGGAATAAGATAGCTATGGAAACATCATGAAAAAACTTTACAATCAGCTAGGAATTCCCAGTTGCCGCACTGGGCAAGATTGCATGTCTACAGACAGCATGGTACAGAGACTCCCAGCTAGTGCTTCAGTGAAAAAAATCCAGAACAGAAGCTGAGGTAGCTATACTGCTTCCTGGGCACTGTCCCATGTCTCACACAGCACTGAATCAAACCAGGCAGACATAGCCTGCTGAATGTTTGCTTGGGGATTTCTAAAAGCGAACCATACTGTATCACGGAGAAATACACACTTGCTTTTCATTGCAGCTTCACAGTCCAAAGGAAAATACAGCTAAATACATCAGCCTCCAAAGCACAGAAATAAATCTCTCATCGCCAGCTGGCACATTCAGCTCAGTTGCTTCAAGTTCATTTTTGAGATGCCCTTTGGTACATACTGTCTAGTTACTTGTCAATTTCATGCAATCTATTGCCTGTCAGAAATTCAGACCTCACTATGGAACAGGAGCTAAAAATGACTGCCTTTCAAAGTAAACCTCTCCTTCTCAAATGTTCCCTCTGTTTCTATTAGTTTCCATGAAACTAATGCAAAAGGAACCAAGCTTCTCTCTGCCATTTACCATTTCCAGCTCTTAGCCTTTCTCCCTTTCTGTTCCAACTTCACTTCATGTTGATGTTATGCTGCCAGATCTTCCCTTTCTCTCTCACTCTGATATTTGCTCCTCCTCCTAAATATTGCCACCAGTCTTTAGCCTTGGTTATTTCAGTGAACTTATTGCCAAGGCTCAACAGGAGAGGTAAAGTTCTGCCTTTCACATCCTTTCTTTCTTTGACTTTGTTCAACACAGAATCCTCACCTATCAATGCAAGTTTCTGACTTTTCTCATTCCAGTTCTATAACCAAAATCTTCTATAACGAAATCTTCTCTTTTGCCTCTGAATTGTGATCTACAAATTGTCACTGTCATTTTGTATTTCACCCTTTTCTATACAGCTGATGTGCAAAGTTAACCATTTTACTATTGCCCCACTTCTCATCTGTTCATCTCTACAATTTGTCTCCTGATATTCTCTTTAACCTCATATTCTTTTGTGATTTTAGCACTGATATTTAAATACATCCATTTGACACCTCTTCTATCCCTAGCTTTCATGATACACTTCTTCCATCTGGTGGCTCATTTATCACATTTTTTCTTTTCTTCCCTTTCCATTTTGCACTTTTTCTTACTCATTTTTTGCCTATATTTCCAATTGACTTCATTGTTATAAATATTCTTCTACTGCATTTTTTTCCTTAGGCCAGTTTCAGCTAATCTGCTCCCCAGTTTTTAGTTATTCATCATGTTGCCCATTAAAAAGGGATCTCAGTGGGAGAACAGGGGCCTGGGTAAGAACAAAGGCCAGGTATATCTAAAGATATAAGTACAGGACAGCCTTTTTTAACATAAATGCTGTTACATGCCAGGCTAACCTGATTGTGAAATTACAGTATCAGCAAGCTACAGACTTGGCTGTTTGCATTTCATGTGGGCAGAAAGCCAGGGCTCCTCAGCACCTGACCATACCTGAAGAAACAGGGATATAGAGAAAGGAGGTGTTTATCACCAAACTCTTTGAAAGGGCTTCTGCACCAGTTGCTGGCATACTGTGAGTGCAGAGATCACTTGTTTACCCAGAAGAGTGTAAATCAGCATAACAGACAGGTTGCCTGTTTAAATAGGCCATGACACACTGTTAGCTACTCGTCATGTTACTTTTGCCAAGGAATGCTGCCTGCCTTCCCTTTGAGTGTGTGAATGTCAGCGTGCTAATTACAACACTTTAATCACATTTGAGTTTACACAGTTCAGCAAGTCTGTTAGGGCCAAGCACTAACCCCTGAAGTTAAGGAGTGTCCCATTGCCTTAGGTAGCTTTGAGCTTCTCAGGCTCCCTTTTCATCCAGTACAAATTCATTTTTTCTTTAAAGCTTGACTGACATCATTCATTATAAATATCCAACTCTCCCAATGCTAGGTCTTAATATATAATGTTTTGCATACATCATGGAGGACAGAAAGGGAGCATTAAGAGAGCAGCCCTACAGTTAGCAGCACTTAAATATGCAGTTTCAGGTCATGGGATGAGTAAAGGGTGCCTTACTACGACCACCACAAGTCCACCTACACAGAAGTATCCTGCTAGATGAAGATTGTCCAACAGCAAGACTATCAGTGGCAAGACTCTCCCAGTTCGCACAGACCATGAAATTTTACAACGTTTTCCCATCCATGAAACTACAGGTAGGCTTTTTTGCATGACCTGAAGATCTGCATCCTCAGGTTGTCTTGGAGCAGAGAAAGAACTAGTTTCCAGAGTACACTCTGATGGCAAACTTTCCACATTTAAGACATTTTAAACTAGTAGTTTCAGGTATTTTTATACTTGAAGTACCATCAAAAGTAACAGGTCATCAAAGCAAACTTACTCCTTTCCTGTTTCTTTCTTCCTTCTCAGGGGGAATTACATGCAAAGTGCACTTTCTTTAAATATTTATTATGAATTCAAAAGGCATTCTTCTTCAATTAGCAATTATTATTCGATGGTAATTTATCTTTTGAAATGCCACCCATTCAGGGAAGGCAATAACCTCAAATAACTCAAAGGGCTGTAATTGTCTTTCTTGCTGTTCAAGTAATGTGTGTGTCCTAAAGCCGATAGGCAGATATGAGTGACGGAAATGACAAAACTACCAAAGTAAATCAAGTACTCAGTATTGCTGAGTTTATATTATTATATGTTTTCTAAACATATATTTCTGGTCACTCTTTTCAATTTGGTTCCCCATCATTGTATACATGTGCATTTTACTCTTGGGCCCTTTGGTATCAGCACACTGGTCTCTCTGTAACCAAAAAGATGTGATCTGGTGAATCTGCATGGGACTGCAGGCAAAGCCCACATCAAGTCCAGGATATGTGGTGATACTGGGATGACTGAATCCTGTATTCCCAAAGAGAGTACAATCTGGACTCCATCTTAATCTGGAATAGGCTTTATCAGTTCCACCTGTTGATATTCAGGCAGCAATATTTAAAGACTATGAGGCATGGGCCTACCTTGGGCTGCCTAGTTCTTAACATTTAGGACTCAAAGTCCAAAGAAAGCTACAGTGAATGCTAACTTGTTCCATCGGGTGTCAAGAAATACCCCACAACATAAAATCAAAATAGTATCTCTTTTCAATGGGTAAAATCAATAATATTCCCCTTATACCAAATAGCAACTACTGGGGTTTCACCATCTCAGTTCCTGCACCCACAACACCATACAAGTGGCAGACTCCAGCTCTCTGCAGCCCTACCCTGCCCAGCCACAGGCTCTGTTGAGCTGGGGTCTGATCCATGGGCTGATGTCCCTCCAGCCATCCAGCCTCAGCCTCACCTGGGGAGATGCCTGATAGTCTGGGCTCAAGGATGGCCCTGGCTGCCCCCAGCCAGCTATCCTCCCTGGCTGGCACCAGTGGTATCCACAGCTGCCAGCTCCCTGTCCCCTGAGGTACAGGTAGTCCTCACTGTGCCAGGGTACTCACATATCTCATTGTCCCTGGTACACAAGTGAGTACCAAACTTCACTGATGCATTAGGTGTCTTGAATGCTAATTAAGAACAATTATATCAAGAAAATGTTTAAAGTCTATTAGAATCACAGAATGGTGGAATAGTTAGGGTTGGAAAGGACCTTAAGATCATCTAGTTCCAACCCCCCTGCCATAGTCAGGGACACCTCACACTAAACCATGTCACCCAAGGCTCTGTCCAACCTGGCCTTGAGCACCACCAGGGATGGAGCATTCACAGCTTCCCTGGGCAACCCATTCCAGTGCCTCACCATCCTCAAAGTATAGAACTTCTTCTTTATATCCAATCTCAACTTCCCCTGTTTAAGTTTGAACCCACTACCCCTTGTCCTACCACTACAGTCCATAACGAAAAGTTCCTCCCCAGCATCCTTATAGGCCCCCTAAACCAATGCAAGGCAGTTTTCTTTTGCTATCTTCATATATCTATCTTGAGATTTTAAAGGAAGTAAAATTTACTACCAGGATTTGAGGTGTCAGTCAATTTGTTATATAAACCAGTTCTCTCTGCACAATTTTCCATATTGTATTAAATTCTACATCTTTTGCCTCTAAAATTAAATTCTGGGATTAAGACTGAACCTCTGCTTTAAAGGCTTACTTGACTGATTCTGTTTTTTTTTTCTGGCAAAAAAAAAGGCTTTTATATGGTTCACTTTCTTATGTTTCTTTAATTTTTCAGTATCATCCCAAGCACGAAAGCAGCAAATAATTTCCAAGGACAGGCATAACAATACACTTCTTGAGTGCTGAGCTATGAAAAGGATGTACCCTATGTGTAACCAAGGATAGGAATTTGATAAAAAAAGAAAAATCTTGTTGTCTTCTTTGTAGTTCCATTAATTCCTCTCCACAGATCATGCTACTCCAATAATGATTA